TCATTGCAAAAGCACCACGCCAACACTTGCTCATTGACCCTCAACTCTGCTGGATTCAGATGATGAAAGTGTCAGGGATGCTGAGCTTACACTACTCAGTGCTGCGATGAGCATTGTCGGGTGGGGTGAGGTGGTGAGCGGGGCCTCTTCATCAATGGGACTCCATTATGACTCATCTGTACTAAACACCTACAACCTATCCTTGCTGTGCAAAGCTTCCCTTTGTCCTGCTGAGTGTGTCTCATCCAGCACTTGAGAGATGAGGACTCGCTGTCTATATTTTATATTGTTGCAAAACACATAACTGCATCAGACGGTAAATTCAGTCTTTCACAATTTATGATATGTTTTCCCACTTATGTGCGTTAGACTTGAGTCCAGGAAAGAATTTATTATGTTAGCGTAAATAGACTGAGTGAAACTGAATCGGAATTCTTGGTTGAATAGGGGGAATGAATTTCCGGTGACAAACAGTCCTCAGCTTTTCAGGGGCAAAAACCGACTGCAGCCTCAGTTCAGTGTAACTACAATTACAAGCATAAACAGTTCATGTCATTGTATGGAAAATTCTAATTGTGTTGAGTAACTAGAAAACTTGCTTAGGCTGCATTATTCAGTTTCATAAGAACTGTCCCTCCTGCATATAAATGCACTCTCAAAATTGTCCAAAAGATGGTAACATAGAGTAAATGGACTGGTTCTTATGAAGCACTTTTCTGCTCAGCTTGAGCACTTAAAGCAGTTTATACAACATGTCTCATTCACCCATCATCTAATCGAAAGGAAAAAAACATATTTATCAACATGTAGAGCACTCCTTACGTTGTGGTACATCTTATCTCCTGTGGTACATCACACTCCCATGAATGCACCGGGAGCAGCCAGGGATTCAGTATCTTGCCCCAAGGATACTTCGACATGCAAACTGGAGCAGCCAAGGATCAAACCGCCAAACCTCTGATTTAGTAGATGACCTGCTCTGCCCGCTAAATCACAGCCACCCCTCAAAGCTGACCTCCTGTGAGGTCAGCTTTTACAAGAACTGGGAAATTTATCCACCAACAAAGTTCAAAGTGCAGTTTTCTGTGTAACTGGTAATGTATTTCTTTTCACAAGCTCTCCTATAACACATGAGAGTATGCCAAACATCAAATTAAGCCAGCCTGACTTCTGTTTGACCGTAATCTCAGACAGTCATCACCTCCTGTACCCAGCAGTCACTGTTCTGCCTTCTCATATCAAAGCTTATGATTAATTCTTAGAAAATAAACTTCAAAATAATTCACCATTATATATCTGTGAAGAGAAAAATCAGTAAATCTGACACTACCTGGCTTTGTGCAGCAGTAAATATGTCTAAATATTTGCCATCGAAAAAAGCTAACTCAGCGAGGAATTCATAAAATACAACAAAAACAAACCAACATGATCCCCTAATTTTTTTAAAGGTCCCTTTAAAACCTTTTGTTTTCAACATGTTCTTTCTAATCAAACGTTTGACATGATTTGTTCTATTCAGTATGCAAATTTAGTCTATGGGGTTTTTGTTTTATTTTCCAGAATAGCTGCCAGCATTTTGACTGTTATAAAAAAAGGACACTTATTAAAAATTGTTCATTTTTAGTATAATTGTGTCCTTCTGAATACAAATCAATTATGCATAGCTTTAGGCCTTGTTGAATTTCATTTTAAATCTCTTTTTTACCCTCTAATCTCAGCCCAAATTATTTTAATCTTCCTGCCAAGTACAATGAAACAGTTTTCCTCTACCCTCAGTGCATTAACTGCATATCTCCAGTATATTTTTATTACAGCAATTAATCTTGGCTTGGGTTACATATACTTGCATTTTCTGCTAAGATGTGTACCCACTGCCTCCTAGTGTATCCGTTGGATAATAATCAGAACATTGAGTTCATTCTTCTCTGATCATTCTCTTGTAGGCAAATTCATGTGCAGACTGGCTTTGTCTTGCTGCATGACCCACTTTCTCTTGAAACTGTGGCCTGGAATATTTCCTTTAGAATTTGCTGGTATAATTTGGACGTCACTGGTTTGTCAGTAATAGCAAAGCAGGTCCAAGTTATGTATATATACACCACCACGTTTCACAGTTGGAGTACCTGACAAGATGCTCACTAAAACCCCACTGTGATCCCATTAGTTCCTTGTCAAATCCCTAGCAGATCCCGTTCCTCAATAAATAAATTGTAATTTATCATGTTTTTCTCTCTCATCTTTTAATTAGGTTCTGCTTATCTCTGCGTATCTGCTTGTTTTTGAAGTTATGTTGTGCTGAGGCATCCAGCACACACCCTCTCTTCTTGGCCAGAAAAAAAACTTGAACTGAAATAAAAGACTTTGTTCTGTTTTCAAAATCATCTTTGGCTGATGTAGATAAATATCAAGGAAATGAGAAAGGACACCATCACAAAATTTAATATATAGATATACAGAAAATACTAGCTTAATTTGGATTTTACCATACCATGATAATTAATCCCATTAATATCTGTGAAACAAAGTTGACTTGGATTGTTGAGTGTTATGTGCTTTGTATTTGAGAAACTGGACTGATCCACTTGAAATTACATTTAATGTGTATGCACGCGATTTGTTTCTTAGATCTTATGCACATGACTTCTTGACTGAAGAGCAAAAAAAAACAATCACCTGAAAGTGCTGAAACAAGCTGAAATACGAAATTTAAGATGGAGCCATATGGACGGAACTGCTGCACTTCTCCCCCTCGCCGGGTGGTGGCAGCAGCAAGCGCGCATGTGCCACAAACTGTATTCTCCACGCCCATACAAGGCGTTTACTTCAAATTTCCGCATTTTGTGCTAAAAGGACAACTAGTCGCACCAAACTTTTCTCTGTTTTGGTGCAGTTGTTTTAGCTGTTATTTGAGTGGCAATGGCGAGACTTCTTCTGGGGGCAAACCTGAGGAGATGCGTCGCCTCTCAGATCAGAATGGCATCTGATCAGGTAAACTTTGGTGGGTTTGGTGACAGTTTTGGACGTTAGCAGCTAGCTCGCTAACGTCTGCCATATCAGTAAAAGGCTCGCGAGGAAGCCAGGTGGTCAAAAATGCGACTTAATTGGTGGAAAAAGCAAACAGTGATGTTTGTAAATAGAGACGACAGAAGATCCCTCATGGCTGCAATGAAAAACACGCAAAATGATGTATGTGCAGTTTTATTTACCCCTAAACACTTTACTGACTCACTTTTTTGCGACATGCCAGTTGGTTTATGGCTATATAGACTAAGTATGTGACATTAATTGTAACGCTGTTCTTATGAACAGGATAAAATAAATATTTTATCCCCTTTTTAGTTGTGTAAATACCTGAAATCACCAGCATTTATGTGCAAAACTGCTGAAATGTGGCAAGCCCCTTATCTTGGAAGGAAAAATTAATTAAATTAAGCTTTATTCATTGTTTCAAACATATATTGTTGCTGAAAGGAGTCCGTGAAAGAAGTGAAAAATCTAACCTTACTGTGTCATTTCAGTTGAAGGTTGGCACACCTTATTCAGACTCCAATGAAAATGGTCAAAGGTCAAAAAGATCACTGTAGTCTATTCCACATTCTGTACACTCAGTATGAGCTGCTGCCTGGCACACTTCTACTACAACATCCAGCTGCCTCCTTTAGAGGTTGTCACAGCAGATCGATTGTCTCCAGCTCATATCACCCCATCCCTAAGCATCTTCTTCTCTGACATCTTCCTCTTTTCCCTCTGCCTGCCAGCTCCATCTTCAACACCCTTTATCCAATATATCCACTATCCTTCCTTTACACATGTACAAACCATCTCAGCTTTGCTTCCCTAACTTTATCTCCAAGTGCTCGAAATGTACTCATTTCTAAACTTGTCCAATCTGGTCATCCCAGTGAAGATCTTTACATCTTCAGCTGAGCCTTCTGTCATTTTGTCAGTGCCACCATCTCCAATGTGTCAAGATTTTAACTTGTGATGGATGAGCGTATACTTGTGGGTCAGATGGAAAATAAATGCACTTGTCTTGATTTACAGAAATGTTGGTCCTAATATAATAGCACTTGCACTTTGATGTCTATCGTTTTGTTTTTTTCTTCTAGCTTGGTGAGTTGGGCAAGGGAGCTGGGAAAGGTGGTGGTGGAGGAGGCTCTGTGAGAGAGGCCGGAGGTGCATTTGGAAAGAGAGAAGTAGCGGAAGAGGAGCGATACTTCAGGTAAATATTCCCTGGGATTTTTATTTTTTCCCCACAACACTTTCACCCATTAACTTTTTTTTTTGTTTGTTTTTTCCGCTTGTAGGCAGAAGGAGAAGGAGCAGATGGAAGCACTAAGGAAGCATCATACGGAAGAGATTGAGCACCACAAAAAGGAGATTGAGCGTCTACAGAAGGAAATCGATCGCCACAAGGGCAAAATCAGGAAGCTTAAACATGACGACTGAACCTTGTTATTTCTCTTTAGGAACCCAGACGTATCAAAAGGTTAATGGTTATTAGGCATTGATTTTTGTCCAGCTTATGTAAAGCTGAGGTCATGTTAACACTATAACTTCAAAAACAATAAAATAAAATGATTAATTTTCACATGTATCCAGAATTTATTGCCTCTCCTTTATTGCCTAACTTTTTTTTTTTTTTTACTTTGAGCTTTGATTTGTTTTTTAGAAAAAGGAGGCTGATCCTGTATGTAGAAATGTGGCTCCCATTGGATTAAAGCGGTGCCAGTTATAGTTCATTCTCCGTGGTTGGATAGCTGATGGAGGGCTCGTTTTTGATCCCAGCGCTACCCGCTTAGTTTGAGTTGCAAAGCCCTTTTGAGCTTGGCCCCGGTTATCGCCTGGTTTGGTTGGCGTTAAGCTCAGCTCACTTCATTGCTTATAAGCGGTAAGCACACGTCTTAAACTTACTATAAGCTTCAGGTTGTCCGATACGAGCACGCCCGGCCTGGCCTGTCAAAACGAACATACTCGGCGAGTTTTCGTCCACATCTCGCGATGATTTCGAAGCAGTGGCGTTGTTCCGGCGAGCCGACGACGAGACCGTATCTGTCTGGAAATTTGTCTCGTGGGTTAGACTCAAACATATTCCGCGCATTTAGACACTATTTGTATGTCCGATAGGCTAGTCGTTTCACGTTTTAACACCCGTCGGAGTTAGTTTCCTGATTCGCTCTGGTGAGTTTCGCTAACTGTGTGTTTGCCCGTGTACGGGGCGCGCGTGTACTTGATTTGCGAAAGGTGTCTTTCTGCACGGCGAGGCCTTCGTATGTAAGCTCGTTAGCCAGCTAGAAAGCTAACCATCATCATTGTTTTGTTTTTTTCCGCAAGGGCAAGATAACGTATTCGGGGATCCCTCTTGACTAAAAATGCTGTAAAATCTATCCAGCGTTGTCTACTTGTAGAAGAGGGTGTTGTGGGGTCAAAAACATATGGACGTAAATACATAAAAAGAAAAGCATTCATTTCGCTGGCTTGCAAGCTGCATGTGAAGGGGGGCGGGACTGAGGCTGTACGTGTTTTCTTGAAGTGACCAGGTTGTTGTTGTGCAGTACATTATAACGTGTCGACGCCAATTATAGTTATTAAATTACATTTATAAGAACTACAGTTCCAGTGAGTCCTATTTTTTTATTTTTTTGTAATTAAATAGAAAACATAAAGCTTGTAAATCAACTTGATTAACTGCACTTGAGTTAATGACATACATAAAGATTGAAATGTAGTTTAGGATCGTGGATCTTTCTTTTTATTGGTCTGATTTTAAGTAAAATAAACTCTTAAAAAGAACCATTAAAATGTATTTCTTTGCTTTGCTGCTGAAGGAGAATGGCTGCTGCTGAGGTAAACGGTAGTTCTGCCCCGGCAAAGGAGGAGGAAGAGCCTATGGATGTGACCACAACACACACAGAAAACTACCAGACCCTCCTTGATGCTGGGCTGCCCCAGAAAGTAGCTGAAAGTCTAGATAATATCTTCCAGACAGGTGAGTGGCTGTTTGTTTATTTCCACTAAAAGAATAATGTATAGCTGCTTTTCTGTAGCTGAGCCTGATGCTGAACGTCCATTGTACCCGTAGGCCTAGTGGCATACGTTGACCTGGATGAAAGGGCTATCGATGCACTGCGGGAATTCAATGAGGAGGGGGCGCTTACTGTGCTGCAGCAGTTCAAAGAGAGCGACCTGTCCCATGTACAGGTATCCACATAGGAGAAAATGAATAGACCCATGTCTATTTGCCCTTGACAGGAGTTTTAACTTGACACAAATTGTTGCAAATTGATTATCTCATTTGATTTTGTTTTTCATTGCAGAATAAAAGTGCTTTCCTTTGTGGAGTTATGAAGACCTACAGGCAGAGAGAAAAACAAGGAAGTAAGGTACAAGAGTCCACCAAGGGCCCAGATGAGGCAAAAATAAAGGTAAACAAAGTCATTTGGCTAAGCTCTTTTGTGTAGCGGGTCAGATTGGATGTCATATAAACACGCCTCTGCAGCCGCAGTTCAGTTAATGTTTGTTTTGTGTGTGTGTGTGTTTCAGGCCCTGTTGGAGCGCACAGGATACACCCTGGATGTCACTACAGGCCAGAGAAAATATGGGGGTCCTCCACCTGAGGATGTGTTCAAAGGCACTCATCCAGGCAGTGGAACTGAGGTAGAGAAGTGATTGACAGATTAAAAAATTGTCTGTCATGATTTCCAAGGCTGGGTTTTATTATTTGAGTAAGATTGAGAAAATATAAGCTAAATGTCATTCATAAAGACTAAAAGCGTAATGTTTTGCAAATCATTACGCTCTCTCACATTTCTTTCCCCTCTGTCCTCTCCTCAGGTTTTTGTTGGAAAAATCCCCAGGGATTTGTATGAAGATGAGCTGGTGCCGCTCTTTGAGTCTGCTGGTCCCATCTGGGACCTCAGGTTAATGATGGACCCTTTATCTGGTCAGAACAGAGGTTATGCCTTCATCACATACTGCAATAAGGATGATGCACAGAAGGCTGTGAAGCTTGTAAGTAATGTCGCGGGAAATATCAGTCCATATTTTAACAGCTTGAGGAGAAATAGACTTAAAGGTTTACTTATTAGAAAGTGTAATAACTTGTGCTTCACAGTATTTTCAGCTCATTTCACTCATTTGTTAACTTGTCTGGGGTTTTTTTGTTGTTGTTTTTTTACAGTGTGATAACCATGAAATCCGCCCTGGCAAGTACTTGGGAGTTTGTATATCTGTTGCAAACAATCGCCTGTTTGTTGGATCGATTCCAAAGAACAAAACAAGAGAAAGTATATTGGAAGACTTTGGCAAAGTGACAGGTTTGTTTCTAACATGCAGGTTTTTGTTTCTTAGAGACTCATTTAAACAAATTATCAGTGCTTAAAAATGATTGATAAACACAACAATGGTTGTGAAAGTCAGATGTTATTGTTTACCTCACAGAGGGTCTCCAAGAGGTGATATTGTATCATCAGCCGGATGACAAGAAAAAGAACCGTGGTTTCTGTTTCCTCGAGTATGAGGACCACAAGTCCGCGGCACAGGCTCGCCGTCGCCTGATGAGCGGCAAGGTCAAAGTGTGGGGGAACCCGGTCACTGTGGAGTGGGCTGACCCTGTAGCTGAACCAGACCCAGAGGTCATGGCTAAGGTTAGTGATTTTAGTGTCTCATTGTTTAATACACATCAGGCATGCTCTGCATTCCAGTGCGACAAACATACTGTTTCCTCTGTTGTTACAGGTAAAGGTGCTCTTTGTGAGGAAGCTGGCAACAGCAGTGACTGAGGAGCTTCTTGAAAAGACCTTTTCCCAGTTTGGAAAGCTGGAACGAGTGAAGAAATTGAAAGACTACGCTTTTGTCCATTTTGAAGAGAGGGATGCTGCCGTAAAGGTGAGTTTCTCGTGCTTTGGCCAAACCTTTTTGCTTGTGTGACGATTCCGTGAGTTTCTTTTATGAGAAACTGATTGTTTTGTTTGATTAGGCAATGGAGGAGATGAATGGGAAGGAACTGGGAGGAGAAGAAATTGAGATTGTCTTGGCAAAGCCCCCAGACAAGAAGAGGAAAGAGCGCCAAGCAGCTCGTCAGACTACCAGAAATGCGGGGTGAGTCAGAGACATCTGACTGGTCAGCTGACGTCTTCTCATTTAAGGAATCAACTGCTTGAAGTGATATCTTCTTCTTTCCAGGTATGATGACTACTACTACTATCCACCTCCACGCATGCCTCCGCCGGGCCGAGGCAGGGGCCGTGGTGGCCGAGGGGGCTATGCCTATCCACCTGATTACTATGGCTATGATGACTACTACGATGACTACTATGGCTACGACTATCATGACTACCGTGGTGGCTATGAAGACCCTTACTACGGCTACGAAGACGTGTACACCATGAGGGGCCGTGGTACTCGTCCCAGCAGGGGAGGTCCACCTCCTCCCAGGGCTCGTGGAGCTCCACCGACACGAGGCCGGGGTGGCTACGCCCAAAGAGGGCCACCCCTCGGTGGTCCGAGGGTGGCCGAGGAGGGCGAGGTGCCCCTTTCCAGCCTCAGAGGGGCCGCGGTCCTCGCGGGGCCAGGGGCAATCGCGGCGGCAACGTCGGCGGAAAGAGGAAGGCAGACGTGTTTAACCAGCCTGACTCCAAGCGCCGCCAGACCAACAACCAACAGAACTGGGGGTCCCAGCCCATCGCCCAGCAGCCCCTGCAGCAAGGGGCCGACTATTCTGGTAACTATGGTTACAGTAATGACACCATGGAGTTTTCACAGGATTCTTATGGGCAACAGTGGAAGTAGATGCACCAAAAGGTATTTGGCAACAAAAAAAAAGAAAAGAGAAAAAAAAAGAAAAACAACAATAAAAAAACAAAAAAAACAAACAGGAGATTGGCCACAATGTTTTTGATTGACTTTTTATTCTTCATCCTTCGTGGAAAAAAAAAATCTGTATATATCTCAGAAAAAATAAAAATAAATGGACAGACCCCAGAATTGGCTCAAGATGATTGGCTGGAAAGCCTTTTGGCTGAAGAAATGAACGTAACCGTTGTGGTGAATCATTTCCTACTCCTACGGTTACATTGGGACACGTGTCTTTAAAAAAAGAAAAACACTCAAAAAACGCTTTTATTGTTACTTTTTGTTCCTGGTTCTTTTTAAAGCCAACAATGAACATTTACACACACAAAAAGAAAAAAAGTGGACATTTCCTTCTCAAAAAGTCTGAGACAACATTAAATAATGAATATTGCCTTGCAGGAAGTTTCTGTCCATGCCCTTTTCCTCCCTTCTCCTTCTTGTACTCCCTTTATTTGTGGTTTCTCATAGTTGCTTTAGGGACTTGCTTGTAAATAAATGCATATGGTAGAGCTTTCTTACGTCATTTTTTTTTTCTTTTTGTTTTTGCAACGGTGGAGAAAAGAATCCACAGGAAGGAAGAAAAATCAAAGTTTTGTAATGTTTAAAGTGTATGCCTAGCGTTTCTAGATATAGACAAATTGTGTTTTTTTTGTTTTTTAAACTGATACCATAACTTCCTATGTTTTCTTTAAACTTGCCCAGTAGAATTTGGTTTGGCTTACCTTAAGAGCCATAGCAGTTTGTTCTCTGATGTTCTTTGTATTTATAACTTTTACGTTTGTTCCGTTTCAATAAAACTCAGCTGAGCATCAGTCAATTGTCAGATACTCAAATTCCGTGTTGTCATTCAGTATTTGATTTGATTTTTAATCTCAATTCTCTCATTTGGATGAATATCTTCTTTTCCAAGTCAAATTCTTTCTCTCTCAAAGGTTAATCACAAACGACTGAAATTGCGCAGTCAGACAACGGGACGAGAATTCGAAAGGTGTCTGGATGATACAAAAGCAGGATTTATTTTTTGTATTCCTTATTCTTCAGACTGCAGTAATATCCTGCACACTGAATTCATGTTGTGAATGTTGCAGCAACAATTAAAGGGACCGCACTGTAAATTGGACTCCTTGCAATTACCCAAGATTGTTCCTGTCTGTCAAACGGTGAACAACCAGCCTACCGTCACTTAATGCTGTCGTTTATGACGAGAAGATGGAAAGCAATTTACTCTTGTGAAAATAATGCAAATGCTTATTGAGCTTTTTATTGACCGGTATAACATTTAATAATTGGAGAGCAGTGGGTAGCTAACACAGGATTTTCACAGGTGTAAATTTCCAGCACCTCCCAGCTCCAGTGTTTTGTTTTTTCCCCTCTTTTTTTAGGGCTGACATCTTATGAAACTTAAGCTCTGTATCCACAAACTTTCAAGACAAGGACAGTTTTGGATAATAGTAGAAAAAAAAATTATTCACACGTCTGTGGTCCTGATACTGACCTCCTTACAACATTTAGAGCAACACATTTGACTTGGAATGGATTTTCTGCAGCTAATTTCCAAAATCTGCACATCATCTCATCGTCTTTTTCTCTCCTTTTGAAGACCCCAAGGATCTGACCATCCAAATTTCCTAAAACGCACCTCCAGCTATAGCAAGCGATCACCTGTCAGGATCTGTTTAGAAAACTTTTTGTTTTGTTTCTTTTAGCCATTGCGTTTTGGTACCATGGTGTCATTGTATTTTGTTTCATGTGTCTGTCCTCTTATTCCAACCTGCCTAGGTGGAGAAGCATTGAGAGCGGCACCGCTAGAATGAGGAACTCACCTGAACGGTACTCAAGGGTGAGCTAGCCTTGCACAGAGTACTGTCTCCTCTTCTCTAGCTAATTGTAATCACTGGAGAAACACTAGCCCTAATTATACACTATGCTTTTATCATCTCTTTGCTAATATACTCTGCTGTGAATCAACGTTTTTTTCCTTGGGTTTTTTTTTTTTTGGGGGGGGGGTGATTTTTTTTTTTCTCTCTCTCCTCTTTTCCAGGCTATCAAGAAGAATCAAAAATTGATTGAAGAATCATTGAAAATAATAATTCAAACCGGCAGATTTCTGGGGTTTAGAGAACATGGGAATAATGGGTACTTCATTCACAATTATAATGTCAATTTTTCATCTAAAGGTCAATGGGAGTCGTGCACAAATTTAGACTGATTAAACAGCCAGAAGGGCAGCCAGCCAAGGAATTTGGTAAGCATTTGTAAACCTAAAAATATGCAAAACACCTGCTGCCTGTCTCAGCTTACTGCACCAAAATCGTTTGTTGTCTCCACGCATTCTTTAATTTGGGCGGTGGGTGCGAAATGGACACTTTTCCCCTTCTGTGCCACTAGAGGTAGCAGCTCTGCACCAGCACTACCAGTGGTGCATTGTTTCCTTTGCCGATGCTGCACTTATTGGCTATTTTCAGAGCTGAATAGGTGTTAATTAGGGGGTCCATATTTACTAGAGAAGTTACTTTTCATATTTATTCAATCCGATTTTGAGCTGCTAACTTAAACATCTGTGAGACTGGCCTGTGTTTAAACAAAGGCTGCACCTCTAAACTGATGTCTTTACCCTTTACCGCCACAAGATGGCAGTAGAAGGGCTACATTATTTGTGTTTCACAGGTAAGCCGGGGATGTAGAGCTAGTTACTGACACACACACATTTTGATTAAAGTGCCTGCAAATGCTGGAGTTTCCATAACAGCCTCTCATGTCAGAACTGTGTCTTTATATGTTGCCTCTTGTCACCAGGCAGTAAAGGAGCTGCCCCCATCCATGTGAATGGGTTCACAGAAATGGAAAGGACTGATTGGTAAGATTGTTCATTATCAAGTAATACTCAGAAAGACTAAATATGATTTTATTTTTAGGTTAGTTCATGTTTTAAAACAATGTTGGATGTCCTAGTTCTAAACTTCCCAGAGCAAGTAAGTCTTATAAGGTTTTCAGAATAAAAATATATAAAGTTATGGATTTTGTGGATTTTATAAATGAGCATCATATGACTCTCTACAGTCATGTGCAGGGTTTGATGGTTAATATTTAAAAATCGATCAACCAGGATTTCTTTTAGCAAGCTTTTTGTGTATGTTTTCTAGGGACTGCTATCCCTGATGATAAACCACATACCACAAGATGAGGAAGGTGCAGAGGTCCTGAACCCAGGGGGGCACATCAGCAACGTTAGGCTCAACAGAAGTCAGAGGTCAGAAAGTTTTGCAATGTAGTAATCGTATAAATGATCCCCTTCTCAGCTGGAGCAATGTTATGCATCAGAGATGTGAAGATTTTATAGCGCTTGATTTTTAAATAAATAAAAACATGTCCTTTTTTTTTTTTGTCTTTGGACAGAAATCGAAGAAAAAGATGGACACGTGACCCACAGCTCCATCAGAGGCCTTTGGCTCCGCCTAGTAGGCTGCCACTGCTCATTCATCCAGCTCAAAGATTTACTGCTGGAAGAGGGAACGATCTATGTATCGGACTGTTTGATACATGTTATTGCACAAATAAATTTGCAGCTTTGTGTGTGCATATTTTTTTTCTTTTGTATAAACACAATATTATACCACTACAGCATTTCTGAGATCTCATTAGAAATCACTGAGTGCAGTAAACTATAGCTGACTGTCTCATAGCACATTTCCAGTCAAACCAGTGGAAATGGGCAATAGGAGAGTGGGCATATGTGGCTCACTGTAGACCTCAGCCAATCAAGCTGACTGTACTCAACTCACTGCCTCACATCACTCAATACAAATAAATACAGGAAGCACAAAGTTGACCTAAGCAAAGGAAATTTCATGCCTTAAACGTTTAAATAAATATTGCATAAGTCACACAGGATGTCTGCACCATGGCACTTATAAGTATATTCTTAGACGTTCAGTCAAGTGTGATACATTGAATACGCAGATGTGAACGACAGTGGGGGCTGGTTTGGGGAAAAAGGCTGAAGACGTGTTACAACAGAGTCCTGCACCAGCTTAAAGATTTTAGCAAAGCGTCGTGAAGGAGTGACCGCTGTTTGTAATCCGTCGCTAAATGTTAAATGTTGGTTAAAAAAACGTCGAAGCGGAAGTAAAGTCTTCTAGTTCCTGTCATGTCAAAACATGCCAATGCAATGTTTTTAATTTGAAAAACTTTAAACCTTTCTAACCCAGCACATTCATTCACTTTCATATTTTTTCAATATTTAAAATTGTTATAAAACGTGTGCTTACGTTACGTAGGTTTATTTTTAATCTGTAGTCACGTGATGTCACGACGTCACATGTAAACCCGAGCGAAGATGGCGACCGCCGAGGGAGAGTCTTCTGTGCATAATGTGTCGGATGAATTATTTCAAAATTTTTACACTGAGGTAAAGCAGATTTAAAGTTAGATTATTCACTTTAAAGTATCGGTTGCTGTCTTTGCACCGACTGAAGCCGGTTATTGAGCGATTACCGCGTTTATCACCTACGAGGCCTGCTGACATCAGCTAATGAGAAGCTAACGTTAAACGAGATGTTTGTGAGCAGCTTCAGTCTTCTGTTAGTACGAAAAAAAACACTGTTATTTGGGCTTATTTTATTCATTATTATCAGCAGCTAGTACTACAAGCCATGTTACCTAAACTATGGCTTGCTTAATAGGAGTTACTGCGTTGGCGGGCCTTTTATGAAGCTGCTGCTGGGTCAGTGTACATGTTGACCTGTATTTATTTAATGAGGATAGCTTCCTGAAAAAATTAAGAGCATCCTTCTCGTTCTTCGTATTTCATTCTTCGGAGCTGGCTGACATAATTCAGAAGAAAATAAAAATGTATTCCGGAAGCCTTGTTTGCCAGGACCTTTGCATTGTGAAGTTTTTCACTGTTTTGTTTTGCTGCTATTCATTTTTAAAGGTGAAGCAGATCGAGAAGCGAGACTCTGTGTTAACCTCCAAGCAGCAGATTGAC